AAGGTCTTCATCAGCAATTCAGGCGTAGTCGAAGATGAAAAGTTCACATTGACTACATCCATATCCTGCTGTGATCTAAGCGCGGCCAACAGTGTCATGGTCTGGAATTTTACCAAGTCAGCAGAATTTTAAAAGTTGATGATGCTCCCTTACCTTTCCAGATCCTGGAGGTCCACACAGTACCAGCGGCTTGTGCTCGGACAACCACGCTGATAACAGCATTTCATGACGGACAGTATCGACAGTCGGTACGACAAGATCAGCAGCAGCGACACGATGAGCTATAAAAGGAAGTATAAATGCTATTGAGATAATGAAAGGGTAATGATGAGGCAGGAGCCGTAAAAAATACTGTCATAGCGTTAATCCTACCTTCGATCTCCATGACTGGGACACGACTCAACCATGGTTGCCACTCACCACTCAGCTGCACATCGTAATCAATGAGCGGTGCCTGAGACTTAGAAGTTTAAGGAAGATAATAGGGCAACCAGCTAGCTTACCTGCTCATTCGGTGGCAAAGTGAGTGTTGTCGAGTTTCTGATAAAATCGCTCATTTGCTGTCGGCATTTCCACTTTCCATCACCGCTGAACGCCCAGATCATGTTGGTGAGCATCGATCTTGTCACATATGTTTCAACTTGCTCTGGCTAAAACAAAACTATTAGTGGTTTTTCCATCAAACACTCCCAAAACTTTTTAGAAAAGAAGATAGGCATACCCCAAGCGGGAAGTCGCCTTGATTAGCATCATGGGTGATAACGCTACGGACTGAGTAGTTCATCATGGCAAAGAATGAGGATAGTAGACGTTGCTGGGTCGGAACCATAACATGATCGAGATTGGTCAATGCATAGTTAAGGGCAAGTGGAACGAGACCATCTTGAAACAAAACATTTTTTTTTTAAATGGGGATTATCATATGAATATTTGAATTATGTAACCTGGTGAGAAATGCGACTGAAGCGCAACAGCTGCCTGTCTTTGGATCGTTACCGAACGAGTGGGTGCTGCATCTTCTGCTATTACGGCATCACTTTCAATCGACACATTACGTAGACGATTCAAATAATGTTCGAACATCATTTCAGTCGTAACCACTTCCTCACTGAACCATACCATACCGCAACGCGACACGGTAG